ATAGAAATAACTGACATGAAAATGGGTCAAAATTTTGATCAACGTTAAAATGAAAAATTTGAATGCAGTTTTTTTTGAGAATCGAAACACAAGTCTTTAGAGGTATGCCACATTGAAATCGGGTTAAATTTGGCAAAGTTATGGACTCTGGAAGTCCAAATGGGAGTCACCTTTTTTACAAGTTATCGGAAACATAGAAATAACAGACATGAAAATGGGTCAAAATTTTGATCAACGTTAAAATGAAAAATTTGAATGCAGTTTTTTTGAGAATCGAAACACAAGTCTTTAGAGGTATGCCACATTGAAATCGGGTTAAATTTGGCAAAGTTATGGACTCTGGAAGTCCAATTGTTGGTCACCTTTTTTACAAGTTATCGTAAACTTAGAAATAACTGACATGAAAATGGGTCAAAATTTTGATCAACGTTAAAATGAAAAATTTGAATTAAGTTTTTTTGAGAATCGAAACACAAGTCTTTAGAGGTATGCCACTTTGAAATCAGGTTAAATTTGGCAAAGTTATGGACTCTGGAAGTCCAATTGTGAGTCACCTTTTTTACAAGTCATCGGAAACTTGGAAATAACTGACATGAAAATGGGTCAAAATTTTGATCAACGTTAAAATGAAAAATTTGAATGCAGTTTTTTTGAGAATCGAAACACAAGTCTTTAGAGGTATGCCACTTTGAAATCAGGTTAAATTTGGCAAAGTTATGGACTCTGGAAGTCCAAATGGGGGTCACCTTTTTTACAAGTCATTTGAAACTTGGAAATAACTGACATGAAAATGGGTCAAAATTTTGATCAACGTTAAAATGAAAAATTTGAATGCAGTTTTTTTGAGAATCGAAACACAAGTCTTTAGAGGTATGCCACATTGAAATCGGGTTAAATTTGGCAAAGTTATGGACTCTGGAAGTCCAATTGTTGGTCACCTTTTTTACAAGTTATCGTAAACTTAGAAATAACTGACATGAAAATGGGTCAAAATTTTGATCAACGTTAAAATGAAAAATTTGAATTAAGTTTTTTTGAGAATCGAAACACAAGTCTTTAGAGGTATGCCACTTTGAAATCAGGTTAAATTTGGCAAAGTTATGGACTCTGGAAGTCCAAATGGGAGTCACCTTTTTTACAAGTTATCGGAAACATAGAAATAACTGACATGAAAATGGGTCAAAATTTTGATCAACGTTAAAATGAAAAATTTGAATGCAGTTTTTTTGAGAAGCAAAACACAAGTCTTTAGAGGTATGTCACTTTGAAATTGGTTCAAATTTGGCAAAGTTATGGACTCTGGAAGTCCAATTGTAGGTCATATATTTACAAGGCATCAACAAGTTAAAAATAACCAACATGAAAATGGGTTAACAAATTAATCAACGTTAAAATGGTATAAATAAAAAATGTGTTTATTAAGGAAACAAATGAAAAAAAGAGTTATTTGAAGAAAAGAAGTGCTACCATATTTTCCGTACATCTCTTAAAAGAAAATACCTATAGAAAATGAATGTATATTTTATTAAGCTCAATTTATCAATTCGCAATAGTAACTAATTCTCCTTTTCACGCGCAGATCTGCAGCCCGGCGTGCACAGAACTGGAAGTGGTGGTCATGGACTGGCTGGCCAAGTTCCTTAAGCTGCCCGATCACTTCTTGCACTCCAGCGAGGGACCCGGCGGCGGTGTGATCCAGGGATCGGCCAGTGAGGCGGTTCTGGTGGCTGTCCTGGCTGCCAGGGAACAGGCGGTCGTCAGCTACAGGGAATCGCATCCGGAACTCAGCGAAAGCGAGGTGCGGGGTCGCTTGGTGGCCTACTCCTCGGATCAGAGCAATAGTTGCATCGAGAAGGCTGGCGTCCTGGCGGCCATGCCCATCCGGCTGCTCCCGGCTGGAGAGGATTTCGTACTGCGAGGGGAGACTTTAAGGCAAGCCATCGAGGAGGATGTGGCGGCGGGCAGGATTCCGGTGATCTGCATCGCCACCCTGGGCACCACAGGCACTTGTGCCTACGACGATATTGAAACCTTGTCCGCCGTCTGCGAGGAGTACAAGGTGTGGCTCCATGTGGATGCCGCCTACGCTGGCGGGGCTTTTGCCCTAGATGAATGCGCGGATCTCCGCAAGGGATTGGATCGCGTGGATTCGCTGAACTTCAATCTGCACAAGTTCATGCTGGTCAATTTCGATTGCTCGGCCATGTGGCTGCGGGATGCGAACAAAGTGGTCGACAGCTTCAATGTGGACCGCATTTATCTGAAGCACAAGCACGAGGGTCAGTCGCAAATCCCCGATTTCCGGCACTGGCAAATCCCACTTGGTCGTCGCTTCCGGGCCCTCAAAGTTTGGATCACATTCCGGACTTTGGGAGCGGAGGGCTTGAGGAATCATGTGCGCAAACATATCGAGTTGGCCAAACAGTTCGAGCAACTGGTGATCAAGGATTCCCGCTTTGAGCTGGTGGCTCCTCGAGCTCTCGGTTTGGTTTGCTTCCGACCAAAAGGTGGTAATGAGGTTACGACCCAACTCCTGCAGCGTCTCATGGATCGCAAGAAAATCTATATGGTTAAGGCCGAGCATGCGGGTCGTCAGTTTCTCAGGTTCGTCGTTTGTGGAATGGATGCCAAAGCCTCCGATATTGACTTTGCCTGGACGGAAATCGAATCACAGCTGACGGGTCTGCAAGAGGAGCAATCCCTGCTGGCACGGAAGACGGGAAACGTGGCCGATCTTACGCAACACTTCCAGGTCCAACTGTCCACCGAAAATGCATCGCACGAGAAGTCTCAGTGAGAAGAACGCAACAGTCCCATTCGCTTGCGGTTTAACTATTTATGTTTAGGTTGTCCTTAGTTCGAATTGTTTTACTTAGCTTATCACATGTTTATAAATAAAATGAGAAAAATATACAAATGTTTTTTTCAAAATATATCGATCTTTAAGCTAGCACATTTTTAAATCTCTTTCCACCAAATCTTACTCTTCCCATCGGAGTGTGTAAATACACATATTACTTTTCTCCAATAATAATTGGCCTTCTAATGGCTTAAATAGTCGACAACTGATGTGTAGGGACTAAAATTTAAATAAATATATAGATAGTTAATATAAATATATTTAAATTTAAATGTAAATTCTTGGCGGGCAAGTGTGGCTGTATTTTGTAAAACATCGCAAGCTTACCCATCGATACCATGCTTACGTGCCAATCGATAAATTCGGCAAGGTCAAAAATCGATAACTTGGTGTGTCACCTCTAGTACTCACAACAACCTTTCAAAAGTCCTCACAAAATTAAACTTATCCGTTTCGGAACATAGGGAAACCAGTGCCGCTTGCCATGCAATGGTAAGTTCCTGCTGCCGGGATGATCCACCAACTAAAACGCTCTATCGTTACCCGTAGTTATAAACTGGCCAGCAGGCGCGGCTTATACAATGCACGGGTTCTCCAGGCGGATCACATCGGTGACCAGCATCATCACAGACCGGATTTGGAGGCGGCCCGACAGAGTGCCCGGATAGTGGTCATTGGAGCAGGACTCGCCGGACTCTCGGCCGCCCAGCATCTGTTGTCCCATGGCTTTCGACGCACCGTCATCCTGGAGGCCACTGATCGGTATGGCGGCAGGATTAACACCCAACGCTTTGGCGACACCTACTGTGAACTGGGCGCCAAGTGGGTGAAGATCGATGGCTCACAGGACTCGATGTACGAGCTACTACGCAACACCGAGGGTCTGGGCAAGCAGATCAGGCAGCCGGAGCGACCCACCTATGTCCAGGTGGAGCAGGAAGGTGGTCACATCAAGCCAGCCATGGTGGAGCTTATCGACACCCTGTTCCGGCAGCTCTGCCGCGGCTTCAAGCTCTCCGAGCGAGTTAAAACCGGTGGTGACCTCCATTCTCTGGACAATGTGATGAACTACTTTAGGACTGAAAGCGATCGCATCATTGGCGCCTCCTTTCAGCAGCCGGAAGACCAGCTCGCTGCTCGTGAGATCTTCCAGTCGCTGTTCAAGGAGTTCGGCAGCATTCTCGGCTGCTGTCTTGAGTACGTGAACATCGAGCACATTGCCAAGTGTCCAGTGCAACAGGAACAGCGTCCACTTTATGTGCCCACTGGCCTTGATAATGTGGTGGATGATCTCATTCAGCAACTGGACAAGGAGCAGGTGCAAATCGGCAAGCCAGTGGGCCAGATACAGTGGACACCAGCGCCCCTGAAAAGTGTGGGTTGTCTTGATGGCAGCCTGTACAGTGCGGACCATATTATTTGCACCCTGCCTTTGGGCGTACTGAAAAGCTTTGCCGGCATACTCTTCCGGCCAACGCTGCCACTGGACAAGATGATGGCTATACGCAACCTGGGGTTTGGCAATCCCCTCAAAATCTATCTTTCGTACAAGAAGCCCATTGGCCGCTGGCTAAAGGCCAACCTGCGGCCGCTGGGAACGCTCGTAAATCCCTCCCTGGATCCGCAGGTTCCGGAACGAAACTGGACGCAACAGGTGGTGGAGATCAGCCAAGTGCCCAGTAGCCAACATGTGCTGGAAGTGCATGTGGGTGGCGGCTACTACGAGGAGATTGAGAAGCTGCCGGATGACAAACTGCTAGAACAAATCACCGGACTGCTGAGGCGGTGTATAAGCAATCACTTGGTACCATATCCGCAGGAACTGCTGCGCTCCAACTGGAGCACCTCCGCCTGCTACCTGGGCGGACGTCCGTACTTCTCTACCAGCAGCAGTGCCCGCGATGTCCAGCGTCTGGCCGCTCCGCTGGGTGAGAAGTCGCCAAGCCTACTGTTCGCCGGGGATGCCACATCCCTCAAAGGCTTTGGAACCATCGATGCAGCCCGGTCCAGTGGCATCCGGGAAGCCCAGCGCATCATTGACTTCTATCTGAATTGCAAGCATTGCGTTTAACTGCAAGCGAAATTTTAAATTGGCTGCGAAATTGTACAAAATATCCACATGGAAACTCACTAGTCAAAATTTATAGTTACATTTTGTTGTATTTTTAAGCAGAATACATATGTTTTAATTAGGCGTAGAACGTTAACAATAAAAGCATTAACAACATCAACGATACGATACGATGATAGGACACTAAAAGTCTAATGTAGCGATGAAGGAAGGCGAGTCCTGCCATCTATTGTTGCGATGTAAATTCCCTAAACATGTCGCAATTGGAATATAGCTGAGTATCTGTTCCGGTTTAACATATCAATCAATATTTTACTTTAAAGTATCTTGGATATATTGGTCCATTTGTAAACATCTAATAATAATGAAATTCTTCTATTTGATTTTCCATGTAAAACACGGAACAGACCTTCATCTCCACTTTACTGCTCCTGTTCCATTTCATCGGCAGCCGCACTGACCTCCTTCCACGAGTACTCCATGTCCTCGGTCTGGGTGAATCGTGAGCACACGGCCATGCGCAGGAAGTACACATCGTTGATCTTGGATGGGACCATGTGGATGTTGCCGCGTCCATTGATTCGTTTCAGAAGAGCTTCGTTCTGTTCATTGCTGCCGTTCAATCGGAAACAGACCAATCCCATATTAACCTCGGCGGCCAGTTCAAATCTGGAATCCGCCACGCAGAGATCAGCGAATTGCTGGGCAAAATTGCAATGCCTGCGGATGTGGGCCTGCAGATTCTCCACGCCGTACAGACGGAGGACAAACCAGAGCTTCAAGGCGCGGAAACGACGACCCAGGGGGATTTGCCAGTGGCGATAGTCGGGAAGAGTTCCCTTGCTATCGTGCTTCAGGTAGAGCGGGTCCACACTGAAGGCGTTCACCACCCAGCTGGGATCCTTCAGCCACATGGCCGAGCAGTCAAAGTTCACCAGCATCCATTTGTGCGGATTGAAGTTGAACGAATCGGCCGCCTCAATGCCCTTCATCAGGTGACGGTACTCGGGACAGATGAAAGCGGATCCGGCATAGGCGGCATCCACGTGGATCCACACATTGTGCTTCAGGCCGACGGGTCCACACTCATCCAGGAAATCAAAAGCACAGGAGTTGGTGGTGCCGAGGGTCACGACGGCATAGAAGGGTATCAAGCCCTCGGCCAGATCCTGCTCGATGGCCTTCTCCAGAGCATCACCACGCATCCTGTGATTCTCCGATTTCACGGAACGCAGCTTGACGCCTCCGAGGAGACCAGCCCGCTCCACGGAGGAGTGAGCTTGATCGGAGCAGTATCCCACCAGTTTGCCCAGGATGGTGTGCTCATCCCACTCCGGATGCAGGTCCTTCACTTCCTTCACCTTTTTGGCCTTCGCTCCCAGGAGAGCAACCAAAGTGGACTCACTGGCCGTGCCCTGAATGACACCGCCACCCTTGCCGCCCGAACAGGCCAGGAATTCCGCAGGCAGCTCCAGCATCTTGCCCAGCCAATCCATCATGACCAGTTCGAGTTCCGTGCAGGCAGGACTGGCGATCCAGGAGAATCCTATGCAGGCAATCGCACCACTCAGCATGTCGGCCACAATCGCTGGATATGAGTTGGCCGTGGGGAAGTAGGCATGGAACTTGGGACTGTGCCAGTGGGTCACTCCCGGCATGATGACCCGCTCGATGTCCTGCATCACATCCTGCCAGTTCTCCGGCTTCTCGGGCGCGGCATCCGGAATCAGGGGCTTCAAGTACCCGGGCTTCACTTCCGGCAGAACGCGTCTGTAATAAGGATAATTGCGTTAGCTTCTTGATTGCACTTTCCCCATTCAGAAAAAGCTTCTTTCTAATTGACTTTGAAACTCAGTTACCACACAAAGCTATCGGGAAAGGGGAAAGGGGGAAGGGGAGAAGCATCCCCAACTTGTTGCCAGTGGCAACAAAAAATCAATAGCAATATGTAGGAATGTGATAATAAAAAGGATGAAGAGTGGCAAAGCTGATGAAGACAGGACTTTGTTTCCACTTTCTCTGCTCCCAATGGGGAAGAAATCTTAGGGGTTTTACGGAATTAAATACAGACATCTTAATTAAAAAAAATATTTAGGTACAATATGCAAATACAAAAATGTAGTTTAATTGAATTTAAAAATCTCATAAAATTAAGATAAAATATTTTGCAAACATAATATGGTAATGTAAATTTATTTTCAGAAAACATTTATTATTTGTAAGGCGCGCCAAAAAAAAGTTTGTTGTCACGATTGCCCAATAAGAAATATAAATACATATATCGTAATTTTTAATTAGGAATAAATTCAATGATCTTATTTACGCAGCAGTAAAAGTTGATTTTATATGAATCTGGTTTCTATATAAACGAAATGTAAATGGCTAAAAACGGACAACAGGTGCAAAATTCAATAAAATTGATTACTTTGCCGTCTCAAACTTTATTTCAAGGTAATGGAAACAAAACCGTTAGAATTTCTCAAGAATAATAAACCGACATTCGTTTTTGCCCAAGGCGTTTGCTAAACAATTATATCTACATAAAAATCGACCTTGACACGCCAACTTTACAAAACCTTTTTAATGCCGCAGTGATTAATTAGTTTTAGGCTCAAGAGCAATGGATAAAGAAACTGTGAAAGTGCTTGGAAGGTCGTGCTTAAACTGCCTTTAAATATATATAACAAAGCGAAGGTCCGATCGCCGAGACTTTCCCATGACTAATGCTCAAACGTGTGCGAAATGTCATTCACTTCCCAGAATCGAACAGATCGTACTTTCGAATTGAACGCAAAAGTTGAGGTCGAGCAACAGATTCTATATAAATAAAGTCTATATGTATCGAGTGCGACTAATCAAATTTAATTCAAGTTAATTGACAAAACACTGATTCATTCTCACTTACCTTTCGCGTATGTTCTCCAAATATTCGGCAATAAAATCGACCATTGTCTTGGCAAAATCTTTAAACTCTGGGGCCTCCATGTCGATCTTTAGGGATTGGTAATAATAAAATGGATTAGTATCGGTTTTTGATGCTTTTGTAATCCCTATAGACATACCGAAACCTTGGGATCCAGCTTATCTTCCAAATTGTTAGCTTTACCATTGCCATTAGCTTGTTTGGATAGGTTAGTGTTTTTTATGGGTAAATGGCTCATTTTGGTTTTTCGAAGTGTTTGCGATGAAGTGAACTTTATTAGTGAAAGACTGATAGGAAAAACATGTGCGATTATTAAAAGTAAGTGGAAATGGTGATGTATTTTTAGAGTATTTGCAGATAGTGCTAATCACACATTTACTAAATGAGACACAGAGATTTATATTTAGAGAGACTGAGACACTGAGACTTATTTGTATACAAACACCAAATTAGCTAAATTCATGCTATTAATTACATACTAGTATATCTATGTTTTTTTTTTCATTTTATTCTTAAGCCCTTTTCGTTTTGGTTGCATGCTTGAGTAAAGTATATACCTTAATTTATTCCACTGTGAATTAATATGATAATTAGAATGTTTAATGCATTCTTTGCGTTAATTAATACTGGATTATTTTTTCTCAATTCACTTTTTAACAACGTAAACAAGTTGGCATTGAGACGGCGACTTGTTGCCAGCAACTAAGCTCACAAAAACCTATTTTAATAGATACACAAACATGCAGATACCAAAAGCCAAAAAACTAAGGCACTAAAGAATGCTGAGGTGAACTTAGAAATTAAACTAAAAGCGAGGCTAGATGCCCAGTTATAGATATGCCCAAACCGCATTACGTATACGCAGCGTTAGCACCGAAATGAATCTTTTTCATGCACTCATTATGTTGGCCAAGCACTTTAGGTATTTAAAAACCCATAGGGAGGCACACGTCACTCACCGTGCACTTTAGTTAACTGCTTTTAATTATTTGCACTTGTCGAGCTTTGTTTCCGTTTCGAACTAAATCTTTGCCCAACTTGAGTTTGCCTTACTGAGGTCGGCTGCAAATAAATTGTTGAATATTTTTTGGGGAGCTGCTGTGCGCTCGACGTTCGACTCTTAACTGAGCGCTACTCGCTCTTGGCCAAGGCTTTTAAAGCCCGGCCAACAGCGCTGCCCATTCCGCAGGACCGGTTCAAAACGCTGCTGCCGCTGAACTTCAGATAAAAACAAAAAACATATTAAAAATACATTCTGCACTGGTTTGATTTGTGCACGTTCTTCGCGGTGATTTTGTTACTTTTTCGGAAGTTATGTTTGTACATTAATTTGTTCGTGACTCAGTTTTATGACGGTAAACTCGATATCGGTTGGGGTGCAAAATAACACCCCGATACCATTTTGTTCTATTAATATATATCTTCAACTAAGTACTATATCACTTCTTCACAAATTCTTCTTTAATTTTTTTTTTATTAGCTCAACAAAAAATAAAAACAAAAACATTACTAAATAAACAGAAAACATTGATAAATAATTTCAACAAACAACTTCTGAGCAATAACATGAATATTATTTATTTAAACAAAAACACCAAAACCTAAATTAATCTGGTTTTGGTGTTTTTGTTAAAGCTTTTATATATAAAATTCTTTAATTAAATATTGATCCTTGAAATATATCTTTTCGCTGAGCCTTATTATCTTTACTCCCCGAAACTTAAAAACATAAAAACAAATCTGCTTAAATTCTTATCACGTGCTTTTGAACTGTACCTCAAGAAAAGAGATCGATCTCGGCTGGGATCCCCCATCATGAGTCATTCATGGGGTTTTCTTAAACTCTGAAGAAAATAAAATCACGCAGAAAAAAGGCAAGCAAATTAAAATTCATAGTAAATACAAGAAATCGGTTATACTGCTAATGGCACGCTTTACGCGCATCTGCGAAACAGGTTTTCCGAGCATCATAAATGACGGGGTTTTCGATTGGGGCCCGAACCGCTCATGTCACTGTGACGTCAAATAATCCAATCCTCTCACTCACATGCCCATTGTGCTACTGGGGAAGTGAGCTAGGTCGAGCCTTTTGAATAGGGATGAGGGAGTGCACAGAGAAAAATATATATGATTTATAATATTGAATAATTAATATTAAATGATCAATGTTTAATCGAGATGAATTCCCCATTTGTTCATGTACATAAGAAGCGATAATGGAGGTAGGGCATCTAGTTATGAGTTCAATTCCCACTGCTCACCAATAGAATTTTATAATATATTTTTTTTATAATATTAAAATCTTAATATCAATGTATATGGATACGGTAATAATATGGTTCTGATGTGTCTACATATTAAATTAAAGAGTGGGTTAAGAAATGACTTGTGATTTTAACAATTTAATGTCATGCAATTTATTTATTTTTCTTTCTGTATAAGATTGCTGGGTGAACTGTTGCTGAGTGCGAAGGAAATGTGTGTGCCTGACATTTCAACGAAGCCACTTTGGCAAATCACTTGACTGAATCAACAGATTTATATGCGATGCCAACGGCTCTGCTTTCGATTTTAATGCGTAGGGTGCACCACCCAACCACCCAGTCATCCAGCCACCAAGCCACCCACATTACGCATCTTTACGGGTGGCTGAAGTTCGGGTCGATTGGGGTGAAGAATACTACAATTTGATTTATGGCCGACTTGAGTTGCGAATGAATAGAAAAAGAATCTGGCGCTTATGGGGCTCGATGTCGATGGCGCCTTTAAGAGGGGGATTGCATAACCAAGCCAAAGAGGTTAATACAAGTGGAGATAGCAAATCAAATATTTTGTGTGCATTAAATTGGAGAGCTTGAAAAGGATGATGTATAACTACTATAAACTATTAAACTATCAATGAATATATAGACAGTTTTTAAAGATTGTAAAGTTTGAAATCAAAAAAATATAAGCATGGAACAAAATTTAAAGAATACTCTATTTGTAAAACAATAAAAGCAATTTAACAGCATTGGCAACCATTAATATTAAACAAAAACAAAATTTGCATTTTCGTGCACCTGTCGATTAACCTGTTTTAAAAGATAATATAGGCAAATTTAATGATAACATCGAGAGATGCTAACTTTTAAGGAATTATTAAAGAATTTTCATGAATTTCACTACGTCAACTTTATGTTATAATATATAAATAAATATGCCAGCTAATGACACTAACCTTTATAAAACTCAATAAGACACCAGAAATAAAATGTATTATTTATTGTTATTTCTCATAATGAAATTTTTTAATGGTCTGTTTCTTTGATTACTGGGGTTGTATTTATCCAAATGCAGATCTTAGGGACCAATACAGCAGGACGCGCCTTCGAACGGCCCAAACGGAAACAACAAAAGTTGAGCCCCATCCGAAACGCGCACTGCGACCGGATTTAGAACCCGATCGGGAAGATAATGGAAAAACCGATTACATGAGACAAATTTTGGTTGTTTCGCTTCATATTCTCCAGTCAGTCGGGCGAACGCATTAGAGTAGTGCATATTTCAGCAGAAACAAAATCGAAAAGTACTTAGTAAATGCTATAGGTAGTTACAACTTAACGGAACTAGATGCACCCAGCTACTGCGCGATGGTGGACGGCAGATTGAGCAGCGTGCTCTGTCCGCTGGGCAAGTAGGCAACTCCGCGGGACCTGGATAGCTGGTAGGCGATATCCTCGGCGGCCTCAATACGACGCAGCTCCACCAGACCGTCACCGGCCTCGCCGAACGACTTGGCCAGCAGACCAGCGGCTTCGGCATCACCCTCCGCGGAAATGATCGAAGCCAGCTTCTGCTGCTCGGCCTTCTCCACGACGAAACGCGCCTTCTCGGCCTCCTGCTGGGCCACCTGCTTCATCTCAACGGCCAGCGTGAATTCCCGACCAAAGGTCAAGTGCGTAAGCGAGATGTCGTCCAGAATGAAGCCGAACTGCTTGGCGCGCAGCGTCAACTCCTGGGAAACACGCTGGGACACCATCTGCAAGGGTAAACACAAAGTTAATAATGATTATAGGATTAAAAAGGTGAAGGGGAAAAGTGTTTACATAGCCCAACACATTTAAAATGGCCTTCAAATAAATCTCTTTCATGGCGTTTAAAATGTCGAAAATGGAATGTGGTCTTACAAATAACAGAAAGGAACTTGAATTATGGACAGAAATAAAATCAAAGGTTTCGAAGCAATCATTTTGAGAACTAAAAAGGTTAAAGCCAATTATGTAGATTATATTAAACCTTTCTAGAGTCTAGACTTTTCTCTAAGTGAATAACGATAAAACTAGTTAATAAGCTTTCATCTTTGGAATTCTAAGGAATTCGAAATGGAATACCTATATCTGATTTTATGATTTTACTTTGACAATCACATACTAAAAAAAACATAAGGGATACCATATATCTTGAAACTTCTACGATATAAGAATATGAATTCAATTTGATTCTAAAGCTCCAATATCTTATTTTGCCAAGCTCGTAATAAGTAAAGCTAAACCGTCCTTCAGTTGTACCCACCTCACGCTGGGTGATCAGCTCGCCGGCGTCGAATTGGGCGACCACGGCCTTCAGCACCTCAGGTGCAATGGAGGGCAGGACGCGCTCGTCGTAGTCCTGGCCGAGGATCGTGTAGATCTTGGGCAGCTGGTCGGGAATGGGGCGGTACAGGATTCTCAGGGTGATGTTGACATTCTGCAGATCCTTGCTGCCGGTGATCACAGGCACATTGCGGGGCTGCGAGCGGATGTCGAAGATGATGGGTCGCTGCACCCACGGGATGAAGAAGTGGGTGCCCTCGCCGACCACGTTCTCCTTGATGCCGGTGAAGCGATCGAAGATGACCGCCCGGTGGCCTCCCTCCACATTATATAACGCCGAATTGACAACGCCACCCAACACGGCCACTCCGAGGCCCAATTGGCCAATGCGGTTGAAGAACTGAGCAGCCATTATCTTTGGAATCAACAGAACGGAAAGTATATAGTTACTGTCTTATAAATATATATGTAAATAAAAAGCCGACTGGACTTTGGAAATTTCATCAGTTTTTTAGGTTAGAACGTCACTTCTAGCCGACAACGTGCTGTTTATGTGATTTTACACCCATTTCTCGGGGATTTCCAATGCAGTTTAGTCAGCCTGATTGAAAACTTACTTATTAAAGCTTTTTGGTTTTAATTAAATCAAATTATTGTGCAATTTTGCCCTTTGAATAAGCAAAACACGAAATTCAAGCGCACGGCTGAGCAACTCTGTTATCGATAGAGCAGAGTTGCCAGGAAGCCAGCACTTATCGATTCTTTTACCATATGTGAAAAATCGATGCCTTAAATTAACTAATTTAATAATTACACGTTCTCTTTTATATTTATTAAAAAAAGGTCAGCTTATGGTGAGTAAAATCGTTTTTGTAAGGAAACAAAAATACTGCATTATATATTAGAAATTAGTTTTTGAATATGACAAATAGATGGCGCCACCAAACAAAGTTACAAATTATCGATATATTGACAAGTTATCTGAGCGGTAATTTTTGAGAATTCAAATAAATAAACCAAATTTATTTTGTTAAAAATGCAATTTCCCAATATAAAATTGTTACAATTTTACAAATCCATTCTTAAAGATATTATCCAATAAACTTTAAAAGCGTTTAGGATAAAATGTTTTTTTATTTGCATCCCTAGAAACTCCCAAATTATTGCGTCATTTCGGCCCGCCCTGCTCCCTTTGGCATCTTCTTGTTTGTGGAGTCCTCGAGCTCCTTAGCCTTGTAGTAGTGTGGCGCCACTTCCAGCAACCACTTGCTCTCGATCTCGATGACCTGCCGCATGTACTCCTTGGAGGTGAAGACCAGTTCGTGGTAGAGCACCCATCGTGGCAGCTCCTCAAAAAGCGAAGAGTTCGGGTGTATCATCACCGTCTGGTTGTGCTTGATGGTCTTGTAGTGACCGCCCTTGGAAAGACGCGCCACATGATAAAAGTATCCGGCGGTGGCTGCCTTGCGAACATTTACAGTCTCTGGAAGACAGCTAACCATATCGATTTCAACGCGCTGCATGAGTCCAACCAGCTGCTCCCGCACATCCCGAGCCCGTTTCATGGACCTGTACTGGATGAAGTTCTCGTAGCACCACTGGGTGCTGTAATCCGTCTCCGCCCACTGATTGTACACCTGCAGCAGACTTAGATGATCGCCGTGCACGTGATTGAAGTTCTTTCGGGCGGTGTCAGCGTGGATAATTTTGTCCTTGGGTCTGTAGAAAATGGCGCTATTGACGGACAGCATAGCTGCAATGGTAACCATCTCCTCCGAACATTTGTATCTGCAAAGGGAGTTAGCAAATGTACCAAGAATTTAATAAGAATGAAGTTCCCATTACTCACTTTTCGCTGGCAAGCAGCATCTTGCCCATCATGGGATCCACTGGAAACTCTGCCATTCGCCGACCCAGCTTGGTCAGCTCTCCGTGATGATTCAGTGCACCCAGGGCATACAACTGTTCAAGAGCCAACACCAACGTCTCGTGCGGCGGAGGATCCAGGAAGTCAAAGTGTATCAGATCGTTGATGCCCAGAGCCTTAAGCATAAGCACTGCATTGCCCAAATTGATGCGTTGAATCTCCGGAACTGTGTTATCCTCCAGCTCGTGCTTGTATGCCCATGCCGTGTACAGTCGGAAGCACTTTCCTGGTGCTGTGCGTCCCGCTCTGCCCGCTCGCTGATTGGCCGAAGCCTTTGAAATGGGCACCACCATAAGCGACTCCATGCCAGTGCGGGAATTAAAATTATTCTGCTTGGCAAACCCAGGATCAATTACATATATGATATTATCGATGGTCAGCGAGGTTTCTGCTATATTTGTTGCCAGGATAACTTTTCGAGCATTCGGAGGAGTGGGCTCAAAGATTTTGGCCTGCATATCACTCGGGAGATTCGCATAGACGGGAATAACGATAAGCTCTCGAATTTTAGAGCCCAACCGCTTGACGCGATCCTGCAGAACCTCCTGGCAGGTCTCGATCTCATCCTGACCCGTAAGGAACACCAAAATATCGCCCAAAGGTTGAGTGGCATGGATCTGCAAAACTGAAACGCAGCACGCATCAATGTAGTCCGCTTCCGGGGCCTTGGTGTAAAATATATCTACGGGATAACGGCGACCGGGTATCCGAAAGATGGGAGCATCATCGAAGAAAGCGGAGAACTTATCCGCATCCAGAGTGGCACTGGAGATGAGGAGCTTCAGTTCAGGCCGAAAACGAGCAATATCCTTGACCAAACCAAACAAAATGTCCGTGTGCAGTGTCCGCTCGTGAGCCTCATCGATAATCATTACACTGTAGGAAGCAAGATCCGGTTCCGAAAGAAACTCGCGATGAAGTGTACCATCCGTCATGTACTTCAAAATGGTACGGTCGGAGGTGCAGTCCTCGAAACGGATGCTGTAGCCCACCTCGTTGCCCAGCTTCACGCCCATTTCCTCGGCCACACGCGCCGCCACAGACATGGCGGCCACTCGACGTGGCTGGGTGCACCCGATCATCTTCTTGTCCTTGGTAAATCCAGCTTCGACAAGATACTGAGGCACCTGGGTTGTTTTGCCCGATCCCGTTTCACCTTCGATAATCAGCACCTGGTGTTCCTTCACAGCAGCTATTAAATCGTCCTTGAAGGGATAAACGGGCAGGGATCGTTTGGTTTCATCCAATGTCAAACGTTTGCGTTCTTTTTCAGTGAGTTCCGGCTGGCGGCTAGAGGACTTTTCGCGACTTCCATCCAGGGTTAAAGCTTGAATGAAGTCAATCTGATCATCAAGGAGCAACTCGTACTCCTCCTGCGCCTTGGCGTCCTTGGCACCGAACTGGAAACGCGCCGAAGCCAACTGCTCGGCTTCCCATTTCTTTTGCTCGGAGTTGGGTTGCTTCTCGAAGTCATCAACCTCAACGTACTCAGCTGGGAATAAGATAACATTATCAAAAATAATTAGTAATTTTACTGAATTATCCTTAAGACAAAGATAACTTACAGCGCTCGCCTTTTTTCAAGTCCTGTGGCATATGATAGCGCTGTACGCGCTCCAGTTCCCGTGCCTTCTCGTGCTCCTTGGCAATGTTCAACAGTTGCTTCTTGTACTGGCGCTCCTCTTTCTCCCTTTTGGTTAGGCTAAAGGAAGAAAAGGATTATTTGGTTACAGATGGTTAAAAAGGAAACAAAACCACGATCTTACACGCTCTCATCAAAGAGATATTCATCGTCCAGGATGTCTGCCTCCAGCTCGGCCACCTTGTCGTCCTTGCGCTTCTCCAGGTACTGGCGACGCGACTGGAGTCGCAAATGGGGCACAATCTTATCCCGATCCTCATGCTCCAGCTTCAGGCGCTTGGTGGCCTCCTCGATTGCCTTGCGCCCGCCGGTGGAGTCCACCACCTTACGCGTGCGATCCTCATCCCGCTGTTTTAGTCGATGCGCGAACTCATCGCGCTCCTGCAGATCCTTCAGGCGCGACTCCTCCTCGCTGTCCGGCTCCTCGGCACTGCTGCTGCTGCTGGCCGTGCGTTTCCTGTTTTTACCCGACATTTTCTTTAATAAACAACCGAAAATACAAAATCAAAACAATGCAGAAGAAGAATTAACCGGCTCCGATAAACACGTCGATAACATATAGTGCTACCAACTTAGCTATTTTTAAATTGGTATCCATTTAAAAGCGATTGGCTTAAATTAGTTTTGGTAAACAATAAAATATATTTCCAATAACCAAATACCAAGTAATAGTTCAAGATGAAACATTTGGGAATAATTATTTTGTATTTGTATTATTTATGATAAGTCACATTTTCAAAATTTTCAGCTAATCTAAAGTTGGCACCACTGATTGCTATCAGCTGTTTTTCGTTTACAACTCACCTCAGTTTCGGACCATGTCGCGCCAATTGAGTTTTAATCCGCAAAAGGAATATGAGTTGATTGAATATCCTGGCAAAGTGGTCAATCCTGACCGGATGATAGCCACTCTGGGCGGCATTATCAATGTGTCCAAGGTAAATTTGGTGGTCTTGTTATGGCCAGATGATCAGTAATCTTACTCCAATTCCAAGGTACTGGGCGATGAAGTAAAACGTATGGCGTTGCACTTCCACCCGGAGAATCCCTACAACAAACCAACTTTTGGTGACTGCACGGATAAAACTGGCGTCCTGCTCTCCATTACTGTGAGGCGTCATAAAAAGGACAAGCAACGGCCTCCGGAATACTTTGTTCGGGTTTTGGGCCACTGCAGCAGGAGCTTTACCTTCGAAAGTAAGTTTCAAGTCGGGATTGAAGGCGAAACATCATAATGTAATCTCCGCCCTCAGCACTTTGTGACTTTCAGTATCTGCCTCTGTGGTCAACTCCAAAAAGTGACAATGCCAATGTTGCCCAGGAGCTCACATATGCTTTAGATCAATTGAAACCCAGGGACACCTCTGATTTGGATTTTTTTAAGTGAGTAATTTTAATAAGATGATCGCAATTTATAAGATTTCTTCAGATTCAAAGAATTTCTAAAGTCCCTAATTAAATTACTATCTGCTATCCGTAAATACCAAACGATGGATTCATTAAATATAGAGATTAATCTTGTAAATCTATCAATGATTAAGAGAATTAAATATTGGTTTTCAAATTCCATTGTTTGGTATTAATAAAATAAATCTAGAATTCTCTAGATCAAGAAACATTGCAGGTTAAAACGCTATAGAGTATAACATTTTTTAACAGCACTTTCAACTTGATCATCTTTCAGAAGACGGCACAATCAACTCCTGGCCCTGCCTGAACTGTTCACCCACGTGGACGTGGTATATTCGGGCACCTACCGCATCGACGGAGCAGAGGATGGCCAACAGGAGGTGCTGGGCGTGCAGTCCAAGGCCACGTACGACAACCAGGGCGTGGTCTCATTTAACATGGTGGACAGTTTTCCCACTCAGGCGGACTCGCAGAACCTCAAACGTCTCAAGGTGAAGTACGTTTCCGATGAGCAATTGGCCGTAGTGAAAAAGCTATTCGATGACTGCCCAATTTGGACCAGGATTGCACTGCAATATGAATCTGGGTTGACCAATGACAAGCTCAAGTGCATCACTCCTTCGCTGGCATTTTACTTCAGCAACGGTCCATGGCGAACTTTGTATGTTCGTTTTGGTTACGATCCTCGCAAGGATTTCAACAGTCGCTACTACCAGACCTTCGACTTCCGGCTCCGTTTCAGCACTGGCCTCTCGGAATTCGTGTACGCTAAGAAATTCGTTAAACAACGGAGGGCAGCTAATGCTCCGTTCGCCCCCATCGAGGATCGCGTTTCCGATTTGGTTCAGGATATTGACTACCCCTACTTCGATGAGCACAAGTTGCCGCGCTCGAGGCAGTGCATGCTGCGGTATTCCGACGTCCGCATGGTGAAGATCCAGGAGATGCTGGAGAAGATTCCCACACCACTGACCGGTGCCGTGTGCAACGAACGAACAGGTTGGTTGCCACCAGGATTCGATGCTCAGGTGCGACAGATTGTCTGTGGCACCATTAGCGAACTTTTGCGCAACCATTACCGAAAGGAGAACCTCACGGCTGAGGTGGAAGCGGTGACCCAGGCCGACGAAGAGGAGGACGAGCCCGAGGACGAGGAGACGCAGGAGGAGGACATGGAGCTGGACGAAACGCAGACCATGAACAACTCCGAGCAGTTCGTCGACAATGACATCGAGCAGCTCTTCGATAATATCACAAGCTGAGACGAGAACTGAATAATTTTAATAGAATTACACCCTTATTTAATAAATAAAAATTGTGATAGATAACTATGTTCATTTGCTATGTTTATCTATTGGCCATTAAATCATCATCAAAAAAATCTTTAATTTCTGTTCATTGAAATGAAGCGGAGGCGTGGCCTTTATTCATGGTTATACCAAAGACCCATATAGATTATATTGGTCTTTGGTTAATCTATATTGGTCTTTGGTCATACAGTGTAATAAGTGTAATACATTTAATTTTTGATAGCAGAAGCTAGGATTAGTGTTGGAAGATATTTTTCAACCGCTTTAAATCCTGAGTGACGGAAAAGTTCCTCTTCCGAATCGGGGATACAGACAGACCTCGCGGATGTGGTAGCAGTTGAGCAACCAGCAGAGGAAGCGCTCCAGTCCCAAGCCATAGCCGCCATGGGGCAAAGTTCGGTAGATGCGCTGGTCGGTGTACCAGTAGTAGGGTGTCGGATCAATGCCCTCGCGTGCGTATCCCTTGAGCAGCTCCTCGCTGTCGTAGATCCTCATCGATCCACCCACAATTTCGCCCACATTTAACAGCACGTCCACGCTTTCGCCTGCAAAATGGTCTTAAAGGGCTTGGATTCACTGCCATCGCCTCACTCATCGCGACAACAAGACAAGTTTGACTGACTAACTACGTGGTCTAACTACATAGTTGTACTTTTTATTACTGGTAAATACCCTTCTAACCCAAGGTTAAATTTGCCATTTGATCGGCCGGCACGTTGTTTGCTTTCTGACTAAAACTTTACTGATAACTCGCCCTCAAGTCTCGCACTTACATACATATATGGACAAAATTGCAACAGCTTAAAAAATTGCATCAGCTAAATATAATACTCCGGATACTCGATAGACCGATTATTACTCATTTATTAATTTTAATAAAGATGATCCCAATTTATAAGATTTCTTAAGATTCAAAGAATTATGCAATGATTTCCAAAGTCCTAATTACATTTCTATCTGCTATTCGTAAATGTCAAATGATGGATTCATTAAATATAGATATCTTTAAGATTAATCTTGTTAATCTATCTTCGATCTATGTTATTGTCCAGATCAAGAGAATTAAATATTGGTTTTCAAATTCCATTGTTAGGTATTAATTAAAAAATCGTGAATTCTCTAGATCAAGAAACAGAATAAATGATTTCCTCCGATAGAAACAACATATTATTGTAGGTCAAACCGCTATAGAGTCTTGATAACATTTTTTAAAAACAATTTAAACTTTATTTTCTTTCAGAAGACGAGGACGAGGAATCGCAGGAGGACATAGAGCTGGACGAAACGCAGACCATGAACAACTCCGAGCAGTTCGTCGACAATGACATCGAGCAGCTCTTCGATAATATCACAAGCTGAGACAAGAACTGACTGAAATAATTAGGATTAACTTTAAAAAGAATTACACCCTTATTTAAAATATGTAAACTAATGGTTTTACCTATGTTCTATTTCATTAGCCATTAAATCATCATAAAAGAAGTCTTTAATTTTTGTTCATTGCAATGAAGCTGCCTTTATTCATGGTTATACAGTTTAATAAGTGTAATAAATTTCATTTTTAATAGCAGAAGCTAGGATTAGTGTTGCAAGATATTTTTCAACCGCTTTAAATGCTGAGTGACGAAAAAGTTTCTCTTTCGCAACTTAGGGCCTGCATCTATCGAGGAATCGGGGATACAAACAGACCTCGCGGATGTGGTAGCGGTTGAGCAACCAGCAGAGGAAGCGCTCCAGTCCCAAACCATAGCCGCCATGGGGCATAGTTCCGTAGATGCGCTGGTCGGTGTACCAGTAGTAGGGTGTCGGATCAATGCCCTCGCGTGCGTATCCCTTGAGCAACTCCTCGCTGTCGTAGATCCTCATCGATCCACCCACAATTTCGCCCACATTGGGCAGCAGCACGTCCACACTTTCGGTCAAACGCTGATCCTCCTTGCAGCGCTGCATATAGAAGGACTTGATCTCCGCCGGGAAACGGCACAGCATAATTGGTTCGTTGATGGTATCGGTCATCTTGCGCTCCGGAGCCTCGGGAATGTCCTCGCCAAACTCGTAGAAGGTGCCATCGTCCTTGGTCACGTTGTTCTCCTTCAGCCACTTGATTGCATCCGCGTAGTTCATGCGACGGAACGGCTTCTGCGGCGGCTTGAAGTCAGGGTTGAGCTCCTTGACCAAATAGCCCCATGGGGTCTTTAAAACACGATCCACCACATCGCAAATCAGGTCCTCCAATCGATCCAGGAGGTTATCGAAAGAAATGAAAGGACACTCGGCTTCGACGTGAGAGTACTCAGCCAAGTGGCGACGGGTGCGGCTCTGCTCGGCCCGATAGCTCTGGGAAATAGTGAAGACATCGCCCAAGGCCGGCAGGCAGGTCTCCAGATAAAGTTGCGAGCTCTGGGTAAGGTATGCCTCTTCGCTAAAGAACTGAAACTTGAAAAGCGTGGAGCCACCCTCCACCTGGGTCTGCACTAGAGTCGGTGGCGTAACCTCGTTGTAGCCTCGTGACTCGTAGTGCGCACGGAAAGCCTGCGCGACCACCGCTCGCATCTTCAGCACCTTCGAGGTATTCTCGCCGCGAATCATGATGTGCCTGTTGTCTAGCTGCACATCCGGGTGAGCCTCTTCGTTGAGAATGGCATCCGCACCGCCGGGCGGAGCCAGACCAATCAATTCCCAATAGTCCACGTTAAGCTCGTGGCCACCAGGAGCGGTTTTTCCTTCAGGAACAAGCTTTAGCTTGCCAAACAGAACCACAGAGCTCTCCGTACTCAGGGTAAGGGCATCGTAGGTCTGGCAAAGCTGATCGTTCAGAACGCACTGCAGGAAACCGGTGCCATCACGCAAGGTGATGAAGATCAGGGATTTGCCCTGACGCCGCAGGCGATGCACCCAGCCGTAGACCTTGACGCGTGAGTCCCGGTTGGAGGCGCCCTCGAAGATGCGAATCTTACGGGCTACAGGTAGACTGGAATCCTCCGAGATCTTTACTTTGCGCGCATCCTCCAGATTTTGCTGGCGTTTCACTGCATCCTCTTCCTCGCGCTGCTCCTTCTCGACATTCTTTTGGGATTCGCGGCCGAAGAGTTTTTGGATCTTCTTCAGCTGGGACTTGGCAACCGGTTCGAAGGACTCCGCAGCATTGGGATCCTTGCTGTCCACATAAATAGTGGGAAAGGGTTCCTTTCCAGAGTGACGCATCGCCTGCAAAATGGTCTTAAAGGGCTTGGATTCACTGCCATCGCCTGACTCATCGCTCCCTTTCTTTTCCGATGTAAAGATAGCACCTGCAATATATTACACATTATAGATCGACACGTTCGACTGAATGAGAACGTGATCTAGGTAGTAGCACTTTTTATTACCGGGAAACCCCCTTCTTACCCAAAGTTAAATCTGCCATTTGATCGGCCTGCGTGTTGCTTGCTTTCTGACTAAAACTTTACTGATAACTCGCCCTCAAGTCTCGCACTTATATGCACAAAATTGCATCAGCAAAATACAATATTCCCCGCCGGATACTCGATAGACCGATTAAAGGCCAGTGGTCCCCGTCACCTGGCAATCAGTAGACGCTGAAAGCTACACCTTTGAATATTGCGCGCCAACGTTTAATGTTGATCGACGGACAGCATATCACTCGGGCGATTCGCATAGACGGGTATAACGATGAGGTGTCGGATTTTAGAGCCCAACCGCTTGACGCGATTCTGCAAAACCTCCTGGCAGGTATCGATCTCATCCTGACCCGTAAGGAACAGCAAAATATCGCCCAAGACAAAGTTAACTCACATCGCTCGCCCTTTTTCAAGTCCTGTGGCATATAATACCGCTGCACGCGCTCCAGTTCCCGCGCCTTCTCGGGCTCCTTGGCAATGTTCAATAGTTGCTTCTTGTACTGGCGCTTCTCGCTCTCTTTTTTGGGGCACAATCTTATCTTGATTCTCATGCTCCGGCTTCAGGCGCTTGGTGGCCTCCTCGATGGCCTTGCGTCCGCCAATGAAGTCCACCACCTTACGCGTGCGAACTTCATCCCGCTGTTTCATTCGGTGGGCGAACTCATCGCGCTCCTGTAGATCCTCCTGGCGCGACTCCTCCTCGCTGTTCGGCACTGCTGCTGCTGCTGGCCATCCGTTTTTTGTTTTTACCCCACATTTCCTTTAATAAACAACCGAAAATACAAAATCAAAACAATGCAGAAGAAGAATTAACCGGCTCCGATAGACACGTCGATAACATATAGTTCTACTAACTTAGCTATTATTTTATTGGTTAGTTTAAAGCTCCGTTAAAAAATATTAATATTTCAATACCTAGTAAGAATTCATAGTTCGACAATATTAAACATTTTGAAATAAATTGTTCCTCTGATAATAATCTGTATTTCAAAATTCATATACCAGCGAAAGCTTAAAAGTCACATATTCAAAAGTTGGCAGCACTGATTGCTATCAGCTGTTTTTAGTTTATAACTCACCTCAGTTTCGGACCATGTCGCTGAGACCAAGCTGAGACCAGAACTGACTGAAATAATGAGGGTAACTTTAAAAAGAATATGTTCTATTTTATTAGCCATTAAATCATCATAAACTAAATCTTTAATTTTTGATCATTGAAATGAAGCGGAGGCGTGGCCTTTATTTATGGTTATACAGTTTAATAAGTGTAATAAATTTCATTTTTAATAGCAGAAGCTAGTTAGATTAGTGTTGCAATATATTTTTCAACCGCTTTAAATGCCGAGTGACGGAAAAGATTCTCTTCCACAGCTTAGGGCCTGCATCTATCGAGGAATCGGGGATACAAACAGACTTCGCGGATGTGGTAGCGGTTGAGCAACCAGCAGAGGAAGCGCTCCAGTCCCAAACCATAGCCGCCATGGGGCATAGTTCCGTAGATGCGCTGGTCAGTGTACCAGTAGTAGGGTGTCGGATCAATGCCCTCGCGTGCGTATCCCTTGAGCAACTCCTCGCTGTCGTAGATCCTCATCGATCCACCCACAATTTCGCCCACATTTGGCAGCAGCACGTCCACGCTTTCGGTCAAACGCTGATCCTCCTTGCAGCGCTGCATATAGAAGGACTTGATCTCCGCCGGGAAACGGCATAGCATAATTGGTTCGTTGATGGTATCGGTCATCTTGCGCTCCGGAGCCTCGGGAATGTCCTCGCCAAACTCGTAGAAGGTGCCATCGTCCTTGGTCACGTTGTTCTCCTTCAGCCACTTGATGGCATCCTCATAGTTCATGCGACGGAACGGCTTCTGCGGCGGCTTGAAGTTAGGGTTGAGCTCCTTGACCAAATAGCCCCAAGGGGACTTTAAAACACGATCCACCACATCGCAAACCAAGTCCTCCAATCGATCCAGGAGGTCATCGAAAGAAATGAAAGGACACTCGGCTTCGACGTGGGAGTATTCAGCCAAGTGGCGACGGGTGCGGCTCTGCTCGGCCCGATAGCTCTGGGAAATAGTGAAGACATCGCCTAAAGCCGGCAGGCAGGTCTCCAGATAAAGTTGCGAGCTCTGGGTAAGGTATGCCTCTTCGCTGAAGTACTTTAACTTGAAAAGCGTGGAGCCACCCTCCACCTGGGTCTGCACTAGAGTCGGGGGCGTTACCTCGTTGTAGCCTCGTGACTCGTAGTGCGCACGGAAAGCCTGCGCGACCACCGCTCGCATCTTCAGCACCTTCGAGGTATTCTCGCCGCGAATCATGATGTGCCTGTTGTCCAGCTGCACATCCGGCTGGGCCTCTTCGTTGAGAATGGCATCCGCACCGCCGGGCGGAGCCAGACCAATCAATTCCCAATAGTCCACGTTGAGCTCGTGACCACCAGGAGCTGTTTTTCCTTCAGGAACCGGCTTTAGCTTGCCAAACAGAACCACAGAGCTCTCCGTACTCAGGGTAAGGGCATCGTAGGTCTGGCAAAGCTGATCGTTGAGGACGCACTGCAGGAAACCGGTGCCATCGCGCAAGGTGATGAAGATCAGGGATTTGCCCTGACGCCGAAGGCGATGCACCCAGCCGTAGACCTTGACGCGTGAGTCCCGGTTGGAGGCGCCCTCGAAGATGCGAATCTTACGGGCCACCGGTAGACTGGAATCCTCCGAGATCTTTATTTTGCGCGCATCCTCCAGATTTTGCTGACGTTTCACTGCATCCTCCGCTTCGCGCTGCTCCTTCCCGACATTCTTGTGAGATTCGCGGACAAAGAGTTTTTGGATCTTCTTCAGTTGCGACTTGGCAGCCGGTTCGAAGGACTCCGCAGCATTGGGATCCTTGCTGTCCACGTAAATAGTGGGAAAGGGTTCCTTTCCTGCATGACGCATCGCCTGCAAAATGGTCTTAAAGGGTTTCGATTCACTGCCATCGCCAGACTCGTCGCTTCCTTTCTTTTCCGATGTAAAGAGAGCACCTGCAATATATATATATTGCACATTATAGACTTACTGACAACGTGGTCTGGCCACATAGTTGCACTTTTTATTACTGGTGAACCTCCTTCTTACCCAAAGTTAAATCTGCCATTTGGTCGGCCGGCATGTTGTTTACTTTGTGACTTAAACTTCTGATAACTCGTCCTTAAGTCTCGCACTTTAATGCACAAAATTGCATCAGCTTAAAACCTTGACAAAATACAATACTCCACGCCGGATACTCGATAGACCGATTAAAAGCCAGTGGTGCCCATCACCTATTGCACACGCTGAAAGCTAAAATTAGCTACACCTTTGAATATTGCTCACCAACGTTTAATAATTTATATTCATAATCTTGTTGAACATCTTTTTGTATAATATTAATAGTGACTATAAATAATCTTGCCAATATTGCTGAGAATCGTATTCAGAATATATTGCCCCGTTGCAAATAATTCGGATACATAGAAATCGACATACGCAAAAAAAACGTTTCCATGGGATATCACAAAATACAAAGCACTTAATTCGTAATAATCAAACGGAATATTTTTGATGGAAGAAACTTAAATCTTGCTTAAAAACAAATAAGAAACAAAAAACCTTATTGATGTTACTAGAAGTGCCTACTAAAAAAGGTGACAAATTTGACAAGACACATTATTACTGTGAACTAAAATATAAAGCGTTAGCAAAATTAGTATAATAGTTAAAGCTTTTTTTAATTCCTGAATTACTTCTCAGTAATTTGAAAATAGACAGATCTGCATTTAAAGCTTATGAACTTTATTTATCGGTGGTCACTGTTGGTATTTTTTAGCACCTTATGTATTGTGAGAAAAACGTAAACAATTTGGAAAATGCCCTCCGAAAATAGGTAATTTAAGCTTTAAACACCGGAAAATAGGAAAACCTAATGTATTAAACCCTAAAATTTGTCCATAGGATTAAAATCCTGCCCAAAGCGGTGGTTTGCGAGGAGAGCAACCTTCGCGGTGACATCACCTTTTCGTCGGGCTGTGTGGTTCATCCAAGTGCCACCGTTATCGCCGACGCAGGACCCATAATTATTGGGGAAAACTGCATCATCGAGGAGTATGCAACCATAGCACATCGCTTGGAACCGGGCGCATCATGGGACGTCAACAATATCTTGAGCATTGGCAACCATAATGTCTTTGAAGTGGGATGCCAAGTGGAGGCCTCTCGCATTGGCGATAAAAACGTATTCGAGAGCAAGTGTTTCGTGGGCCGTGGAGTTACCGTTTCCAATGGTTGTGCTGTGGGAGCTGGGATTAAGATACACACCAGTCAACTTCTGCCGCAAAACACCATTGTTTATGGCGAGCAAGGATTGCAGCGAGAGGCCATCGATAAGCAGGGATCACAGACCCTGCAGATCGATTTCCTTCGCAAGGTGCTGCCGAACTATCATCATCTCCGCAAGCCCAACTACGATCCCAAGAAGGCACGCAGTGTTGTCTAGATTGTAGTCCCTATATATAATCATTTATGTATTCTCCACCTTCACAGCATTAAAATTAGACATCTCCTTTACAAAAGTATCAATTGTATGATCACATAGTTTCTCCAAATCCTCCAGTCCCCTTTTGAGTATATCGATGGCTCGATCTCGGTGGGATTGAATGCGAAAGTGCAGCTTCTGCTCGGTGGGATGGGGAATGGTGTAGCCACAGAAATCCACCTCTGGATAGCGGGCTATAATGGTTTTCAGTGCATTGCCCAGCGTGTGTCCCTCGTTGCTAAACACAAAAGTACGCGAGCCCTCGCCGTTTTTCTCATCGCCAGCTAGCTGGTAAAATATTTACAAATCAGTCAATCAAAAGTCACAAAATATTTTATTTAATAAGTACCTCTGCCAATGCCCCCATTTTAAGAACCTTTAAATTATTGTTGGTTTGTTTACAAAAAACGTGGGAGGCACATGCCTTAACAATCGATTGCTTGACTATCGATTGTCTGCATATGAAAATAGCTAACTTTAAATTAATCGGTCTGGAAACTGTCAGTGGCGTCGTTATTGGCGCCAAAAGATTGTTTTTTAAATGTATATTCTTCTTCTTAAGACTACATGTTAGAGCACTGTGGTAAACATTCCGGAAACATCCAATTCCAAAATTCTGTTAAATTAACAACAGATGCAATATAAATTGATGTGTTTTTTAACGCCATCAGCTATTTACAGTAGACGTACGGCAATACTATTGATCAGTGATTAGTGGTATAGTTGTTCAGTTGAACGCGCCCATCGATCAGCTAATTGATGTATTACAAAACTTTTCTTTAGTACTTATTGTTAGAATTTTAAATTAAAAATTTAGCAGCGGAAAGTAGTCGATTCTGCACATTGTTTTATCGATGTATCGATAAGGTCTCGACGTTTATACCAGCCCTAGTTCTTGTCGCGTTCTGACACGGACGCGGTTTTCGACTCTTTGTGTGTTGTTTGCTAATTTGTTTCGTTTTGTGGCCAATATTATTGGGGGCCAGCTGCGAAATCAGTTTTGTGCGGAGTGGGCCAAATAAAAAAGAAAGAAGTGTCGCAAACAGCCGCATTAGCATAATTGCATGCCGCCTTTTGCGTGTATATGTGTGTATGTCACAGTGTAGTTTGTTTGAAAGCATCAGCAGAAAAGGCGGCAAAAAGAGGGGACCTGAAAAGAAGAAGAAAACGAAAACACAAAAAAACTGCAACGGCAAACAATTATTTTCGCAATGCATTTAACGTAAAGTTGCTCCAAAAACACCGACACTCGGCCAAAAACGCATACAGTAAAAAAACGGCTCTTAATATTTAACGTTTTTTTGCATTGTGCGCGCAACAGGAATAAACTGCAATACAGGTTTGTTAAATGCACAAAATGTGCTTATTAATAATACCACATAAATAAACTTTATTGAACAGTCCAAAATGTCATTTAATATTTGTTTTTGGCCATGGGGCACGCCCCCTTTTTTTGGTCGAAAAATTATGCAAATTCATGCACCTAAAAAAATAAGGCAGCTGCCTCTGCCGCTGCGCCGTCGACGACGACGCCGCTGCTGGCGAAGGCGGAAGTGATGGCTAAAAAATACCAGTTCCAGAGGCTTAAGCTTTAGCTTTGGCATTACTTTGACAGTTGTTCTGTTTTTTTTGTTGCAACTCCCAGTACACTAAATTTGAATACGTTAAATGACAGTTAAAATATTTAATTCCTGGATCTGGAAATTAACTTAAAATATATAAAATATGGCATTTTTTCTGGAAAATTCAATTTTGAAAAAAAATTGTTTATCTAAATGAATTAAGAGGGTCTCTACCACCTTGTGGTCTTTTAACATTTACCTCTTATTGTGAAAACTCACAATTTCGCAATAGAGGTTAGCCAATATGCACTGTATTTTGTTTCCACTGGTTGGTATGGTCTCCTTTTTGGCATCCTTCTGACTCCTTTGCACTCATTTGTTTGGTGGTCATACACACACAAACATCTGTTGTGTTTTGGTGGTGACTAATGCGACAGCATGTTCCGTTATCTCATGTGTTCCTCTCTCCCCATCCCTTCGTTCACCCACGCTTATAAACTTGTGTTGTAATAATCTGTATGTGTACGTGTGTGTCTCACGTTTCGTTTGGCGCCATGCGTTCCCCCCAATTTGCAGTCGTTGCAATTTTGGTCTAGGCTGCGTTCCGTTTCCAAATCGTTTCCCCCATTATGCTGGGCGCCCTTTTTGCTTGTTGTTGTTTTTACATGGACTGCAGTATATACACATATCTGCCGGCGTTTGCTGACTTACATACATTTGTGTGTGTGTAAGAGCGAGCCAGCTGCTCTCTCCTGGCCGTAAAAGGGGTTCGCTCTTGGTCTCTCCTGGGCTGACTATTCTTATTTTTATGGTTTTCTTTTTTGCGTTTGCAATTATTTTGGCTTTGTAGTGGTTACAACAAAGGAACTGCATAAAAGCGTCACGATCGTGGCAAAAAAAAATGTAGAGAAAAGAGAAGTGCGAAATGGTTCTGGGAATACGAAACAGGGTTCTCTTTTGGCCCGTGTAAATAAACAACATTTACTATATGGCATATAGGGAAAATAACTTCCCCAGCATATTCATGCGAAACTGATTCGTAAACACTTTCCGCACTCGTGTGTAAGATTGTACCCTAACTTACAGTAAACCCCAAGAAGCCTAACCTGGACAAAAGTCATACAGGTCATACAAGTACAAATATAATGTTGTGACCAATTAAAAATATGTAAAAATATGTATCTGTGCCATGAATATTGCAAAGATCTACATACAGTCAACACAATATTTATTCGGACACCCGTGATTTTGATTTTGATTCATTAATAACTCAACAAAAACGTAACGAAAACAAACAATTTATATTTCATCGTGAAGGTTAACATTCTTAGAATATATTTTAACAAAAAAATAAGGAACTTTCAACAGTAAAATTAGATATTTTCTTAAATTAACTTGAAAAGTCATAATTTTACGCACAGAAATTATTCGGACACTTCATATAATATTAAAAAAAAACATATTTCTTGATGTTTTAATATTTTTAATATTTGGTGGGTCCTCCACTAACATCAATGACAGCTTGTAAGCGTCGACCCATGCTTTTTACCAAGTTGCTTGTCTCATTAGCGCTAATTTGACCCCATTCAGCCATCAATGCAGTTTTTAAGGACTCCCTGGACGAAATGACGTGCTTCCGAATCCTTTTCTCAAGAATATCTCAAACATGTTCTATGGGACTTAAATTAGGTGACTGGGGAGGTGTTTTCAGCTGCTTGCAGTGATATAAAAGCCACTCTTGCACCAAAGACGAAGAATGTTGTCTTGTTGAAACAACAATGTCTTCGGATCTAGACCAAGTTTTATATCACTTGGAATCAAATTTTCGCTTAAAATGTTTTTGTAGATATTCTTATTAATTTTGTCGTCAATAAAGACCATTTGACCGACTTCTTCTACCGATACACACCCCCACATCATTACATTCCCGCCACCATGCTAAACAGTTGGAATTAAGTTCTTCTCATTCATGGCTTCATTTGGTTTCCTCCACACTTTCGAGGGCCCATAGTGTCCAAATATGTAAAATTTGGATTTGTCGCTTAAAACTACGTTCTCCCAAAACGAATCCGGGTGGTTATATGCAGTTTTCCAAACTCCAAACGCTTTTTTTTGTTGATGGCAGAAAATAATTGCTTTCGACGAGCAACTCTGCCATGTAAACCAGCCTTGTACAGGTAGTTTCGGATGGTTTTGGCCCAAACTTTTTTTATTTTCGCTTGCTCTACATTCTTTTGAATTGTTGTAGATGTTGTTTTCGGATTTTTTAGGACTGTAGACATAAATTTCCGTCCCTCACGTGAGTACAGAATCTTAGACCTTCTAGCTTTCTTGTGATTTGAAGCTCATTATTCCGTTTTTAAGTATTTTTGGATTATACTATGTATTGTGGAAGGTGATTTTCCATTAATACGACCGATTTTGCGATAACTACGATTTTCCAAAAATGAATTTAAGATAGGTTTTCGAAAATCTAGTGACAAATCTTGAACTCCTTTTATTTTGACCAATCGTATCAAAAAAACACATAAAAACTAACAAAAAAAAAAAAAAAAGCACGCCGAAAATTACTCCGAAGTAATTTCAACTAAACTACTTTAAAAAGAATCGCCTATTACCGTTGTGCTCAGAAATAAACACAATAAATGAGAAATGTACGAATAATTTTTGTGCAACATTTTAGCAACTTTTTTGCTTTTCTTTTAATATTTTTAAGGCTAATTTAAAAAATTACATTTTTGTTTGTGTAATGTCTTCTGAAAATCACTGTTTCTATGATAAGTAAAAAAAAACCTGCTAAAATTACGAAAATTCCGGCAAATAAGCTGTTAAACTTGATAATAGACAGTGTCCGAATAAATTTTGTGCTGACTGTATCTACTTGAAGTACCAAAAACCTGTCAGGATGCTGTCAGACAGTGGGCACTTCTTAAAGAAAAATAATCAATTGTTCAAATCTAAAATTTGGGAGATAGTATGCTGACTTTAAGAGAAGAGAGGGATATATAATCAAAAAAGGAGAGTTGTTGCTTTGTATTTAATTATGTACCTTATAAATATATTTTAAATCTGCTCCACTGTGCAAGAAATTTCCAAGGATGCTGCAGACATCGAAAGCCAAACGAAATAAAATAAAATACATTGACGGTTGGGGGGGTGCAAAATGAAATGGAGGATGCGGTGAAGTAGAAGGGGACAAAGGGGAGCCGGGTTCAACAGCAGACAGAAAAAGGCGAAGTGGCAATGGCACAAGACGATGATGGAGAGCTCAGGGAATAAGGAACAGAGAACAAGGAACAGACGGAAACACGGACACGACAACGTGATATTCCCAACATCCTGTGCAGCGAGTCACGAAGGAGGTGGGGAGCGCAATAAAGCAGGAGAAGACAGCGAAGCAGAAGGCGGGGGAGAGCGAAAAACCTGTCATCTGCTGCCGGCTGCATTCGATACGGGCCATGGAAAGGAGGAGAAGAGAAGGGGACTGAGACGCAGAAGGATGAAGGCATTTTTAGAATTCCCAAAATCAACATAAAAAGCAAGTAAATGAACAATGATGGCCAGACAAACTACACAGAAAGAAAAATTGTTAGGATACAATGCTTAATTCAATGGCAGAAAATGTCCTTCATTATTTAAAAAATGTCGTATAAAACAAGGCTATGCGGTTTGAACCCTGGTGCTCTGCGCTCCAACAAAAATCCTCTATTCATCTCGATTTAACATAATTGAAAACTAAAATCTAAAAAAAAATATTTTAATATATAGTTTATCTGTTTGGAGGTGGGATTTTATGAAAATAAAACATCACGTTTATTTTGATTTCGACCAACCTTACAGTGTAAGAAAAGCCAGTCAAAAGGAAGCTGAGTCT